ACTCATAGCTTGACTTTACATTTTTATTCAATTTTACTTTCTCTGTGTATTAATTGGTGAGTTCAACATTTATTGTGATTATTGATACTTTTTTTTTTTACCTTCCAACTTTGTATATTCTTTTTGTTCCATTTTTTTCTATGCTTTCCCCTCCTCTTACCTCTCTTATTCCTTCTTTTGAGATTGCTTCATTTTTTATTTTTTCCCTTAATTTATCTTTCTTTTATTGATTTGGAAGTGAATCACTTTATTTCCATTCTTTTGGCAGGTACCCTTTTGACCACCTAGAATCCAGTACAAACACTGTGTAACAAAACTCTGTCAATACTTAACTTCCCTCCTGAACAATTTAAGAACTTCAGAATATTTTAACTCCAAGTATCCTTTTCTGACTTACATGCTATTGTTACCCCATATTTAAGCTTTTAAAAATTAACCCAGAAAACAGATATTATTATTATTTTATGTGGACAAAGTTTGTTTAGATTTATCTCCATTTTCACCAGTTGCCTCACTATTCCTTCTTGCATCTTAGTTCTTCCTTTTGGGATCATTTTCCTTCTTCCTAAAGTACATACTTTATATGTTCCTTTAGAGAAGATTTGTTGGTGTTAAGCTCTCATCTCTGTTTTCGTGAAAATTCCTTTATTCTTGTAAGACAGTTTTGTAGGGTTCACAATTCTTGACTTATCATCTCTTGGCATGCTGAAGATACCATTCCACTGTCTTCTGCTCCTTTACTGCTGTGGGAAAGTCTGCTGTCAGTCTACTTGTGGTAACTTTGTGGTACTGTGAGTGGTCTGGGTTTTCTCTCTGGCTGCCTTAAGGAGTTTCTTTTTACCTTTGGTGTTCTGAAGCTTCACTATAACATTCCTGCATGTGGATTTATTCTAATTTTCCCACATTGGTTGTATGGTGTACACTGTGATGGCAAATGCTATGTGGATTCATGCCTTTAATCTCTTCTGGAACCTTCTCAGCTGCGATCTGTTTGGCTGTTGCCTCTCTTTCATTGTCTCTATTCTCTCCCCCTGGGATTCTGGATATGTTAGACCTTACCATTCTAACCTCCATTGCTCGTAGCTTTGTTTTCATATTTCTTTTTTTTTTAAATTTTTATTTTGTCAATATACAATGTATATGATTATTATGGCCCATCACCAA